ATTTTAGGAAAGCTTGTCATTTCACAGAGTCAAGGAACATCAAGAATGGTGGTTATAGGGTTTTACATTCCATTCTTTATATCTGTCGTGCCAGCTCTCGTAACAGGTTAGTTCAGTCATTAAAAAACCTCAATCGGAGAGGAAGCTTCGAATGCATTTGAGGGGAATTATAAGGAGTCACACCGTGAAGCGAAAGGCGGAAGCGATGAAAACACTCATGATTTAGATATAGCTTCAATGAGAGGGGAATTTTAGAAGCAATGTTTCCTTAATACTCTTCATGTTCGACTATGAATATAAATAGAAAATAATACATGGCCGCGCGTAGATATGGAATTTCTCTTCGAGCGTTCAACTCAATAGCTCACGAGTGAGCGCAGCGAACGAGTGAGATGTCGAGTTGAACACGAGTGGAAAATCTTCCAGTTGTCGAGTTTCGTTCTCAGCCGCGAGAAACGCCATTACCAAAGCCACTGAATACGTAACGTTCGCCCGGTTTTTCTTTTCGTATGCTGGTTTTCTTCCTCTTCTAGGAGAGTTTAAACGTCACTTTCGGTTTATTAATGTTCTCGCCGCCATAATTGGAAGAAGTTTTGACAAACTAACTCGTATCGAGAATCCTTATTAGGATTTCTCCGTTCATTCATCAACCTGACTGAGTGGAGCAAAAGGTGATTAATGTTTCAGCAGCTGATGGTTGATATCAAACACACTTGAAAAAATATCGTGTGTTGACGTTGTTACGGCTTTTCTCAGGGCCGGAGGGCCCTGTAGAGCACTGTAGTTTATATGATAAACGACATTTCAACACAGGCAATCTCTAAATAATTAATGGCATTACCACGTGTTGGGGCTCTGTGAGGATGTTACTGTAGATGAAAAGTGTTTGACTAAACGTCGACAGAGAGTTGGTTCAACTGCTCAGACATATTCACTGATTGATGCTTTGAAGTTATTACTTAAAGCACAATTCACGGTTCAAATACTTCGATTTGATTTGATTTGATGTCGCTCGTACCTCTAAAAAATTAGATTAAAAAAATGACTTTGACTTCCTTCAATGAATATTAGTTGTATTTGAATTATAATTTTTGCCTTCGTTCATGGTCGATGTAGCTCTATGACGAGATAATTCCAGGAAAACATGGATCTTGTGGAAGACTTAAGTGTAATAACTTTCATAAATTTAATAAAGTCCTAAATCTAATAACATTTGGAACTAAATGTAATAAGACTTCAATGCAATCGTTTAACTGCGCGAGTGTATTGTTGTTATAGCGGACATTCAAATTGAGATGTTTAAGTGACGGCTGTTGCATCAAGGAATCCTCTGACCAATATTCATGGCATATTGCGGGCTCGCTTATATTATTCAGCGTCTTTTTATTTGCTAAAGACGTAGATCGACAAGCATTGGTCACAAACCTTATATATATTGATGTGCTTTTGGCATCAAATCGACAGACGTCAAAACAATGAGAACGCTGACCAATGCCTCTCTTTATATCATTGGCTCAGACTCTTTTGTGCAACAGATTTTGACGATTTACTTGTGTGATCAGTGCTGAAGTTAACACCTTATGAGCCAAATCACAAGGAAAAGGAAGTCCACTGAACTATACGTTAGACAAATTCCGGGCTCGGAAGTCCATATCATGGACTTTCCTCCCTTGCCAGATTTGTATGGGTCTGCTTGAAATATAATCATAAGCGTTATTGACTAAGCTTGTTCGGCCAAGATGGCTGGATATTGGTTAAGTTCCTTTGTTGCGTTTTTATGGACCTCGACTTGGACTCGGTCCCTAAAGACGCAGAAATAAAACGAGGCTAATATGACCGAATAAGTTTGGTAGGGAGAGAACATATATTCCAAAGTCGATCTCAAGTTTTTATGTCATTTTTTGTCTTCATCTCTTCTCCCCGCCGTGAGGGGAGGAAATGGTTAGATAAATAAATAAATGAAAAAAGAATGGTCAACAGTTTCTACTTATAGTCATATGGTACATGACCTGATTACCGAGGTGGATAGAGTATCCCAGGTTCAAAAAATGTATATCCAAGCCTGCAGATTGTCTGACCAACAAGTCAGCGGACTTCCTCGTCCAAGTTTGTCATTTAGTTTATGACTTTTTTGCTCCATCACTGATCACACAAGTATTACGTTATCACATTTTTCCAAAATCTACGGCACTTAAGAGTCTGAGCCAGTGATATATGGAGAGGTATTGGTCAGCATACTCATTGTTTTGCCAGCTGTCATTTGATGCTAATTGTTCGTTAGTATAATGCTTTGCAGCAAATGCTTCTCGACTTAAGTCCTTCAAATAAGAAGACGCTGAATGCAGCGAGCCTGCAATGTGACATGAATACTGGTCAGAGGGTTTTTTGGTGCAACAGCTGTCACTCAAACATCTCAATATGGATGTCCGCTATAACATGACAATGCACTGGCGGAGTTTAACGATTGTACTGGAGGCTTATCACATATACGACCAAATGTTATTACATTTAGGACAGTTATTACATTTAGGCTTTCAACAACTATGCCTCCCCCAAAAATAGTCTGTTTCCTCAAGCTCTAAGAAATGTCTTTGGTAAAGAGGAAATGACCCAGAGAAACTTGATAGATAGGGGGAGAAAAGTTAAGTATACAGGAACAAGGTTTAATATGGTAGCCTCATTTTTTTTAATTCTGATAAGTTGCCAGCACCATTCGACCGAGACAGTCCAGTGCGACAACGACAGAGGGAGCAAGTTTTCTCTTTGAATGGGATTTTCATCTTCAAGATGAGGACAAAATAAAACTAGCAGGGTTCATTTTTGGTCTTTGGGAGAATGGGTATACCACGTTTTATCTTATGACGGTAACCAAGAAGGGAAGAGTGATTTATAATCCTCAGTTGAACAAGACACATCCTAGTTACGTTGGGCGAGTGACTTGGGAAGGAAACATATCGAAGTCGTACTTGGCCTATGAATTGGTGAACCTGACTTTCTCCGATAGCAACACATACGGATGTCAAATTGACGTGGGAGGTTTCCGACGAACAATTCATTCTAAGATCACCTTAAATGTCCAGGTAAGATTCTGATGTAAAACTTAACGCGCATATGCGTGTATGTACGACTGGACCTTACCTGGTTAAGCCTTTAAGGCACTATCGTACGTATATACACGACAAACCACTTGCCCCAAAAAATGACGGCTAATTTTTTCGTGGAAAGCTGGGATCACTTGACAAAATGATTATGGGATAACTTGTTCGTGGCAGCGGTATTCGGGGCAATTATTTTGCAATTTAGGGTCTAATTTACATTTTTTTCCCTTGACTTTTCATGTTCGTGTTTTAAGTGGCGATTTAAAAATTGCAGCGGGAAATTTTTCTGCCAAGGAGGTTTTGGAAATTGTATGCAAAATGTAGGCACAGTCTCCACACGGTTTTAACGCTTCTATCATCAAAGGTTCATATGTTTTAGAAAACTGTCTATTCAAGTTCCCATGAAAAGTACTTGAAAAGCATGTGAAAAATACCATCCCCTAAGGATCCTCTTCCACCTACTTTGAAACTTGTTCTGGAAGCTTACATTGGTGTCAAACGTTATCTATGATGGAAAACAAATGCTCGGGAAGTTAGTACCGGTTCATGTACATTATTGGTTATGTTACTCAGCGTCATTGCTACTATGTCTGATGAGCTTGCATATCCCTTGGTCATTCCCTTAGCAAAATATTTTATCCACTCAAAGACGTTAAGGTTGTAAAATGATCTTTTCCACTCAGCTCACTTTTAATAAAAATCTCGATTGTTTAGGTTCTGTTAGGTTAATAATAGCTCAGTCAAAGAAGGAAAGAGCTATCGTACATATCGCGTTCCACGAGCACGAAAATGGGAGCAAAGAGAATACGTCAGAAGGTGATTCATGTCGTCTCGCCGCTGTTTTCCCCGAGCCGAATTTCTAAGAAGATACCTTGGATCCGCGCATCGTTAGTTTTTGTGCTCTAGAAGCTTTGCTATTGTTTGTTTGTTTTTCGCTTGTTGTTTTCTTCTGCAGAGGCCCTGATCAGAATTTCTCATGTGCATTTTAGTTAAGACTTTTGTTTTTCCATCTTTTTCATCTTCTTCCGTTATTATGTTAGGTTTTAGCATATTAGCCCATTAAGTAATAAAAAGATGACCCGTTTCTGTTTACTGTATGTCTTCTTGATACACTTTTAAATGCTTGATTCTCCACGAGAGGTAACAGCACTACTGAAGTATTGATATTAAACTTGCGGCAACCAAACTGGTTGAAGTTTGTGACAAAGGAATGAAACGAATATAACGCAACTGAAATACTAGACCCAGTAAATAAGCTCAGCAAATACTCACAAGAAACCAGATTGATTTAAATTTTCTTTTTCTTCTTTCACAGGCGATACATGCATCAAAAACAACTGAAGTGAGTGTCTCTTCCATATGGGACCATGCTCCCAATGCTACATCGAGCAAATTTGTTCCATCATTAAAAGCGGGTAAGTTCCTTTATTAACTGTGTATCTCTTCGTTCTTGGGTATGATTTAGTTTTATCAGTTAAGTTGGAAATTAACTTGACTACCACAAGGAGTTTTAGGGCAGAGAAACCCCTTTGCGGTAACCAAGTTACATTATCAATTGTTGTCGTTTTGGCTGTCGCTCGTTTTTTGTTTCATTATTTACCGATTTTTTGCCAGCCTTATCTTAGCTATAACTTTGCACGATGTTGGGAAAATTAGACTAGTAACAATGTAACCAGTCCTTTATGTACTGAGTGATTTTCTATTAGAGAAAAGATATTTAGTTTCCCTCCAAGGCTAATTAGGGTTTGGTCCTCTCCCAGGAAGGGGTGGCTATTGTTTCCTGTCTTGTTTCTTTTCGTCTACTTTCCAGGCATTCAAATAGTGATGTCATTCAAAATAATTTTCATCAAAATTTAATCGTAGAACTGTAGGACAAAAATTATCTTTCAAATCGGAATTCTAAATCTCCACGGTATCAAGGAAAAATCCTGGGTTAAATTAAGAAACTCTTTGCGGTGGCCAATTTATATTTATATCTATGTTATATATTATTAGTATGCAACCAAACTATATTGCACTAACTGTTTGCCATACAGGTGTCCCAGAAAATGCAACAGTGGGAAGTGTAACAACTTCGAATTCAAACATCTTGGTATCACACGGTACGCTTTCTTGTATCATCTCTTAGTATGTATGATATTTAGCGTCAAAGATGTGCCCCCCCGAAAGCTTAATGCAAATACCCAATCGTATTAGTTTCCAAGAAATGACGATTGGCATTAAGCACAATCCTATATCCAATTTGCCGTTCTCAAAAACAGGCAATCTGTTCTCTCCCGCGTGACGCTTTTCGTGCAAACGTGTTCGCTGTGCAAAGAGCACCTTCCATTACTTTGTGGGAATTTTATCATATTTAGAGTGACTCGATGTTGGAACAATCTCCCAGTTCTCACTACCTTCACCACAGAAATTTAAAGAAATTGTGTTCATTTATAATTACAGAGCGGTGTATTAAAAATTTTGGATTTACGCTCAATTTCGTTTCTCGTTGTACGTATTTGTTTTTTTCTAATTCTTTTTAGGGAAAGCGGGCTCTGCGAAGTCAAAGTGGGAATTAGGGATTGAATGCTTACCTTACCTGTCAGTCCTTGCCATTCCACATTTCTTTGGGCCGTGACTTTCAAGCTCTGAAGGAGAACTGGAGTGAGTAATAAGTACTAGTTAAGACTAGTACTATGTGAGTGTTAGTTAAGATTTTCAACTTTCCCTTTTCGTTTCGATTTACCTGTCGTGATTTCCATGTTTCCAAATACGATGGTTCAAAATAATAAGTGTCTTTGTGGTATCCCATGAGATTTACCAACACTCTAAAATCAATGGGCATAAAAGTCTCATATGCAGGAAATGTAAATGTTTATTTTTCATTAGTATCTTTAATAGAAGAAGGCATGGCAATCTTCCAAGTTAAAACTTGTCATGATCATCTATTTACATGTTTATTCATTTTTCTGTTTGTTTATCTATCATTTATCTATTAATTCATCTTTTACGTATGTTTCGATAAAAAAAAAACATAATTGCTATTATCCGTATAGCAAGTAATTTAGTGCTAAAAATATTGTTAAAAAAAGGTAGTAATATGACGATCGTAATACCAGTATTCCATGTAATTATTAGTTTTAGTATTGTTTTCAGTGTAGTCGAGCAAGTTTCTGTAAGCTGTGACGCGAATTTTGTGAGTAATGTCAGTATTGTACTTAATTGTTAATAGTGCAAGTAATTGCAAGTAGAGTAAGCATTGTTATCTCCTCCAATAAAGTAAAAGTAAACGAAGAAACAAGCCAAATTGACAAAAGTTTGCTGATTGCTGATGAAATCCATTACTTCATTTACGATTATCGATTTTCCAGACACATTCCAGATAACCAGAATCATGTTAACTCGACGTAACATCTCTATGATTATACACTCCTCAATCAGCAATTTGAAATAAAGGTATCTTGATGTAGGCTTCTTAGTAAATATGTTGCTCTGTCTATAACAATTTTTTCCTTTCACACTGATTAAAAAGAAAAAAGAACTTAAACTTTCAATATCTGTTGCAATGCCGGTGTTTGACCAACTTAGAATCAGAAACTATCCGATATTCCCGTGCATGCACCAACAACCATAACCCTCCGGCCCAAAGATGACACCTACAAATGCCCCTTCCTGATTGAACCTAGAAATAGTGATCTTTCCTCCGGCTTTTAAGTGTTGCCTAGTGATTCCAACTATCCTAACAAGAAGTTCAACTTTGAGTACCTGAGACAACAGATGCCGAGTGAGCCTATGTTGCACGCGTTCTTTACACTCGAGATGAAGAATGACGGTTTCACCTATGATGGTTGGCAAGGGCAGAATCTCTGCTTGGCCTACAGACCGACTGGGGGTTACACTGGACCGACATTTCAGGATTGGAGTCCACGATCATTTGCCGGTGCTCGTCTTAGTCCACCAAATGTGCACTGGTGTATCAGTGAGTTCGTTTCAACCTTTGAGTACGGATGGTTTAAGTTTGAGCCACTTTCAGAGTAAACCAAAGTTGTGCAATGGACCCTGCAATCGAAGAAATCTGAACGATGATATGCAAAGGAAAATTAGATACAATCTTTTATGCGGATTAAAAAGTATTTTTGTGATTAGAAAGCTGCATACCAGCTTAATCAAAATAAAGATTATGCGCCGGTGTATTGTTGATTCATTTGTCTGAGTGGCAGAATGCAAATAGCTCTTAACAGCAATTCCAGTCACTTCTAGGAAGACATGCACTGATGTAACAAACAAACTTTTGACACCCTGTGCTTCTTCGGTTGATTATCTTCGATTCCTTAAGAAGTATCTTACTTGCAAATCATGCATACATAAAGAATCCAAATTTCCAGTAAATGTCACAAAAACCATGAACACCAGAAGATTTGTGAAATGGAATCGTATTTCAACGAAAGAACCAGAATTTTACGGCATCAGAAAACCAGACCGCCAGCAGCAACGGATTATCCTTATCTTGATTTTGATTGGTCGATACCTAATTGACTTGTCAGTATCACCTCAAAAATTGTTAAGGGTTCTCAGAGTTTCATAATGCAGACTTTTTTTGCACAGCAGAAATAATGGCAATAATAATAATGATGATAACAGTGCAAATAACATTGATGATAATGATTCACACTTTGGATCCATGAGGAACATTTCATCATCATTTTCCTGATCATCATCATCTATAGATTCTAAGAGGGAAAATTTTAATTTCCGTCATAAAAATGGCTTTACTTCTATTCTTTCGTCAGTCCTTCAAAAGAAGAACTATACTTATAATGAACCATATAACTGTTTTCTCCACCGAAAGATATTGTAAGCAAAGCGATAACCTGGCAACATACGTAAGGCCTCATCGCGCGGATAAGAAACAGCTGCTGCCCAGTCTATCGCTAAAAAAAATCATCATCCCTATAAGAATTCAGAGGAGTGTCCTCCTTCCCTCATGAGGCCACGTCTAGCAGTGACTTACCGTCCACGTTCATTCGGTGAAATGGAGATCGCGATGTCACAGACGCTATTAGGAGATTCAGGGTGACAAAGCAAACCATCTTCATGGTAAATTGAGGAGGCAAGTAGTTCAATAAGAAAATCTGTAAAAAAAGGGATGAAATTTATAGGACGAAATGTTTTTTTTTTGGTTTCATGCACTCGAGCAAGGGATAGGGCAAAAATCGGAGTACACACAAGAAATCGAACCCCACACTCAAGGAATTCAGGTGATGGTCTACCACTAAGCTAAAGCGAACTTTATAGTCCGTAAGGTCATTGCTAAGTTCCCACGTCAAATGTCTTGCATGCTGGCATTGTATGATCAGAGATAACTAGAGGAAAGTGTGCGCTAAGTTGATGAATAAAGAAATATGTTACTTGCTTTTGTCACGAGCCTGACAAAGAAAGAGTCCCCCGTCGAAATAAAAGTTTTTAAAGTCTAAACCCGATGGGAATCAAGCGTTAAATTTAATATCCTCCATCTGGGAATGGGAACAAATTTGGCCTTACAAATTATTGAACTACAAACCGAACTCAGAGAAAAACCGCTGATGGGAATCATGTGATATCTGAGAAAAGTTGACTATAAACGAAGCCGTGGATAAATCCTGATGAATCTGTTGGCACGCCAAACATTACTCTGGGGCTTTTTAGTGCCGTTGTATTAAACGCACAAACTAAAGGCTCTCGGCCGAAACCCTCGATATTTTTGTGACGTTGAAAGTGTCCTTAGGTTATTGAATTGCTACGTGTGACTTTTGCTTTGGCAGATATACTTGGTTATGAGTGATTTTTCACTCTCGTGCTCTCCCATGAGCAGAAAAAAAGTAAAAATAATAGTTATAAAATAAACAAATTTCCTCTTTCCTGACGGCGTTTGTTGTGATCCTTTTCATGCCTCAAGAACAAAGATGCATCTCATTAACTTATCACTTAATCTCCATTGAGAATTTGTCCCTGATGTTAACGAAAATTTAAAGACGCACTCAACAAATATATTGAATAATTATTCAAGAAAGCATCTTTACAACCGTGAAAAAGACACTTCTTTTTATCTTTTAACAGACAATGATATCTAGTATAAAGCCCTGCTTAAATCGGTACCGAAGTTTTTTGGCAACGATCGATTATAGGGCCACTTTCATACCTTTACTTGCATCCAATTGTTCCGAATATGTTATTTCTCGTTCATCAAAGATCGCCACTTAAAAAGGGTGGGCTTCAATAGCCCAATATTCCATGGTTGCTCCCCGTTTATTTAATGATCTAATTTTGAGTAATTCGTATTTACTTAATTTTTGACGAGGCGCAACTTGGAGCGAAGACTCGTGATTTTGGTCTAACCGGGTCTCAAACATCAACTGTTAGGTTAAAAACCTAAACCTTGGTCCAAGCCGGCCAACCCATAGAAGATCCAAAGTTGCTGTAGAGGCCTTGCTTTAATACACCAATTCGAAATTATGTTACGTCTTTGAGTTTCCTCTTAAGGGAAAGGAGAGAGTGTTTATATATATTATTCAAAAACTGTCTCGAGACAAGTATTCTCAGTTTGTTCCCAGCAGGGTGCAACTAGAAGATGAAGATGCCAAGTTTGAAATCAGCGTTAGTTCCGGAAATTTGGATAGTTTCCACGAAGGAAATAATCGCATGATGTTAGTAATTATTTCCTTCATTCTTGTGACCTTATGTTCGGAACTTTGTTTCAGATTACATTCAGGGTTGTCATTTTTTTGATAGATGAAGTTTCGTGACAAAGTCTAACAAAACATTAGCAAGTTCTGCTGTTAATTAACTGTCAAGCTGGATAGCGTTCAAATTTAATAGCTTTTGTAAATTTGAGTCCTTTGCAAATCCTTCTCGATCACAGCGCTGCACGTCAAATGTGGAAATCATTTTATGACATTGGCAACAAGTAGTTCCAAGTCCTACTTAAATATCTTGTACATACTTTATGTCTCATGCCAGAATTACTTTCATACGCGCGTACCTATATTATCTATAAATTTTACATCATCAATATTATATGATTTTACATTTACCATCCATAACTTATGTATATTATTTATATACTATTTATGTAATTATAAATCTTGTTGCACGTTTTATTATTTATCCATATATTTAGTTCAACCATTATATTATTTTATTATAGTGAATTAGTACAGAAGAGCCACCGTGTGGATTACTAATAAACCATTATTACTATTATTATTATTATTATTATTATTGTTTTGTTGAATAAATCATTTAAAGCGGCGTCGTTTGTGGGACAACAACAATTGACCTGCTGCTGTAATTGTGAAGCACGCGACCACCCTGAGGGATTTTCTCGAGGTGCCGCTTCTTTAGAAAATTCTCTCCCTTAAATCTCGCGAAAGACCAATTTTTTTCTGCATTGTCGAGCCCTCGGAAAGTTAGCGTTATTTTCTCACCATTCTTGGTCGCGCCGCGCTCCAGGCTGTTTGCTTATTTTACCTCGAGTTCGCCACTGGCTCCTTGTGATTTTTCCTTTGCTCTATAATATATCGACTAGCAGTTGCGATTGCTTTGTTCTTTTGTTTTGCTTTGAGTTTTTACAAAATTTAGTCGAAAAGCACTCTATAATATTCTAGTCAGGAGAAAGTGACGCCGGTTTTGTGACCAGACGAAGTGACGCAAAACCAATGCAATCCTGGAAATTGCCGTATTGCCTAAGGTATATATAGGGTTACGCCTGACAGAATAACTGTTGTAACCGAAATCACGCGTATATTGTGCCGATCCAGTTTTACATAAATTTATCCACACATCTGCGGTACTACTATGAAACACGAGTAGGAAAATATATACAGCTGTTTGTTCTCTTTCGATAAACGTTGTCGGAAAAAAGGACGAAAGCACTCACGAAAATCTCCAAAGATAATATGGGTA